CTCGCGGGCAAGCCGGCGTTAGCGGGATTGCTTTACCCCCTTTCATCAATTATTTTCTGCTTCCACTCTCAACTCAGTGTGCCCGCGAACGAAGTTTTTTGCAATGGCTTCTCTCTCGTCGACCATCAAGGCCGTCCGCCAGCCGGACCCCCGGTATCAAACCCTGGTCCTCTCGGACATCCCCACCCCCACCCTCTCCGGACCCGACGAGCGCCTCATCCGGGTCCGCGCCGCTGCGCCCTGCCGCCACGAGCTCACCTGGGAGCTCAGCACCGCCGATGCCTACACCGACGCTCCGGATGACCGCCTCCGTGTTCCGTGCACCGAGTGCGCCGGCGTCGTGGTGGCCTCCGGCGCTACGGATCCGGACAGTGCCCCGTTCAAGCCTGGCGACGAGGTCTTCTTCCGCATCGAGGTTGGCAACGTCGGGTGCCTGCGGGAGCTGACCGTCGCACGCGTCGCCGAGATGGCCCTCAAGCCGAAGCAGCTCAGTTGGGAGGAGGCGGCGGCGACGCCCTTGAGCGCACTGACGGCGTGGCAGGGCCTGTTCACTCACAGCGAAGGCGTGCTGGACGGGAAGGCGACCCGGGGAGACGAGGAGGCGCGCAAGAAGAACGGCAAGGCCCGGGTGCTCATCACGGGGGCCGGCGGGAGCGTCGGCGGGTGGGCGGTCCAGCTCGCCGCGGCGGCCGGCGTGGGCGGCATCGTCGCGCTGTGCGGGCCGTCCAAGGAGGGCTTCGTGCGCGAGCTGGGCGCGACGGAGACGATCGACTACACGAAGCAGAGCATCGCTGACTGGGCAGCCGCGGACCCGGCCGCGCGGGAGTGCGACCTCGTGCTCGACTGCGTCGGCGGCTCGACGCTGGCCGGGTGCTGGGCGGCCGTCAAGGCGGGCGGCGTCCTGCTCACGGTGTCGCCCAAGGCGGGCGACGCCCTGAACCCGCCGCCGGGCGCCCGGCCCGTGGCCAAGAGCGCGTGGTTCCTCGTCAAGGCGCTGGGCGGCGACCTGACCGAAGTGGCCGCGCTGATGGAGGAGGGCCGGTGCGTGCCGCTCCTGGACAGCGTGTTCGCTTTCGAGGACTACCAGGCAGCGTTTGACAAGCTGGAGGCGGGGACGACCAAGGGGAAGTGCGTGATTCGGATGCCGGAGTGAAGGCAAGGATGTGTTTGCAGGCTGCGTGATACCCTCTCTACTCTACACGTGACTACGGATCAATGAAAAGTTTGTTTCGTCCTTGCGGATGTAGTCCCTCTTGGTCCTGTCGGTGAGAAACTCCTGACTAGCTGTCCAAGATTGAGTGCTGATTTCTCAAGGGGCTTGTACTGAAGATGCCCCCTTCTTCATGCCATCACAAGGTGAAGGCATGGCCAGGTAAAACCTTAATTCTCCTCCTGGCTCGCAGGTTCTGCACTCTCCCACCTCTGCATGGTCTTTTTCCTCTTTTGTGGGCAGGAGAGTGCTGTTGTCTCATGCAACTGAATTGCTTGCAAGTGATGCTTGGAGACAACTCACTCATAGCACTCATGGGTGGCCATGTGGAAGTGGGCTTGTGGATATGATGTTGATGCTGCTGTGAGGTCCTACCTGTTGTTAGCACATGCCTGTCTTTGTAGAGTGTTGCTTGCCTTTCATTGACATTGAGCAGGAATGACACTCCAGGTACAGCCAACTAAAGGTGCTTGTCCTACCAACATCAAAGACACAGAGTGACCACCAAATTCAAATTAGCAGCAAGGTGTTCCAGCCCTGAAATTCCTTGTGCAGGCTGTGGCCCATGGCCACCCACACAGCCAGGCACAGTCACTCCTTAGCTTCCTCAAGCTGAGGATTGACTGTGCCTGGGTGAAGAGGGCCAGGTCAAGGGTGTTGGCCATGTTGTGTGCAGACATCCAGACACCAATGGTGGTGATAATGTAGGCTAGCATGGTCCAGTAGGGCTGTTGGGTCATGGAATCACCTTGCTGTACTGGGCCTGGAAGGTTTGTTCATGGATTTGATCTCCTGCTTGTTCCACTCAAAGTCATCTCAGCATCAACCATTGGGTCCTCAGCAGGTCATCTCTGCCCAGGGCAACACTGGGGGCAGCAGCCATAAGCCAGACTAAAAATGGAACATTCATTACTGAACTCAGCAAAAAATGGGTATCATCAAGAGCTCTCCATGCCTCCTAAGGGAGGCCCTTCTATTGCATACACATACATGATAGATTGTCCTGCAGTTTCACACTTCAAAAATAGCATGTCTGAAGTACCTCCTTCAGGAGCTTCAACAGCTCCTTGTTGGTGGCCATGGCTGATGGCAGGGTGACTTGCATTTAAACTCACAAACAAAATCACTTTTCATAATGACTGGACTTCTCATTTCAAATGAAAACAAGTTCTTGGTTTGCCATAGACAAGGCCATGCCACTTATGGGGGTTATTGACAACAGTTGATATGTGCCCATGGTGACCATCATTGCCACAGCTACAGTTGTCAATTACTGCAAACTGGTAATCACTATATATCATATACCTGCATTCATTACCTCTCTGCACACAATACACAAACATCTCTCTACACATCATTCTACTGTCTTCCCTCTCTACCCCAATTCAACACCAGCCAGCTCTCCTACCCCCTGTGTCACTTGGTCATTTTGGGTTTCAGCTTCCCAAACAAAAATTTACAACAATATTGTCATTGATTTCGTGTTTGTTAATTGTTTTACTGATTGATCCATTGCAGAGATGGCGGATACCTTTGAGTTTGATGACGGCGTGGGAAGCGTGGACTCGGCCGTGGACCCCTTTGCCGATTACCAGCAGCCCTCGAGCGGCTTCGGCTTTGTCGATGACGAGCCCCCCGCCCCCTCTTCATCATCATCGGATCGCGTAGCCTCGTTCGACGAACAGGTCGCCCCCGCGTCCCCGCAGCAGCCGTCGCAGCAGCAGAGCGGTTCGTCGGGCAGCGTCGCTACGACCCAGCAGCAGCAGCAGCTGGAGGATGAGAACTCGCCCCTGCGGGTCTACCAGCGCGAGCAGCAGCAGAAGCTCGCCGAGCGCGAGAAAAAGTCGAGGGAGGAGCACGACAAGGTGCGCGCTGCCGCCAGGGCCGAGATCGACAAGTTCTACGAGGAGAGGCGCCAGAAGCGCGACAAAGCCATCAAGGACAACCGGTACGTCGTGAATACCCCCCCCCACACACGAGCCTTCTTTTCTTGCCCCCTTGGGGGGCGTGTAGCGAGCCGCCATTGCCCCCCCAACGTGGTGCCGTGGGCTGAAAATGCAACGACGACGTCGATGGGGGGGGGCGGACACCAGGGCGGCGCAGGCGGAGACGAAGAAGGACGAGAGCGGAGCGGGCGCTTCGGGCTGGGCGCGTGCCGTGGCCCTCGTCGACCTCAACGCCGGCAAGACCGAAGGAAAGGTGCGTTGTTCGCCCCCTCACCCTCATCCCCTTTGCAGATGCAGGAGCTCACTCCCTGCGTTGACCACCTCACGTGCGTGCGTGCGGGTTCGTCGTCGGGCTGAGCAGGACGTGTCCCGCATGAGGAAGATCCTGCTGGAGGCCAAGCACGGCGCGCTGCCCCTCAAATCCCACTAAACCAGCCACGGCCACGGCGGCGGCGGCCCATCTTCTTCTTCTTCTTCTTCTTCGAGGAGAAAGAGTACCTGGGATGCCCACACGTTTTATTCGTTCTGCAGCAGCACCCGTGTTCATAACAATAACGAGACTGGTTGACACTGCTCCGAGTCTGCGTGTTGTGTTCTGTCAGAGATGTTACGTCGTCGTGGCGGCGGCGGCGGCGTGGTTTCTCATCAGCCGAAGGGGGGTCCACCGCCGAAACCGCCGCCAGCGCCGAAGGGTGTGGTGGTGGAGGTGGGCAGGTGGCGCGGCTGGAGATCGCGAGGGGGGTGCGGGTTGAGCGGGTCGAGGCCGCCGCGTGGTGGGACCGGCCCGAACGGAGACTCGGGGCCGAGCGGAGGCGGCGCCGGCCGCGGCACGAACTCCTGGTCGGGCTCGGGCTCGCCAAAGACCGGGGGCGCAGGTCCCACCGGCGGGTGCAGCAGCGGACCTGTTGGCACGGGCGGCGGCCACAGCGCTGAGGGCTCGCCCAGGGGCGGCGGCTCCTTGTCCTTCTCGAAGTCGCTCGGCGGTTGGCGGTGCGGTTCTGCCATCAGGGATGGGTGGGCCTACGGCTCTCTTTTGCTATCGTAACTGCCTCACTACACTTGGCTCGTGTCACGTACTGCCGCCCGCTGGCCGGCTTGGGTGGCTGGATCTGGGCGAGAATTCCAGGCACCCACCCCATAAATCCGTGGACAACACCACTACGGAACACTACGGCAACAAATCGGTGGATGAACGACTGTGGACAGAGGACGGGAGCGTGTGTGTTGTGTGTGGTCTCACTTCTTGTGGCCGATGGCGCGTAGAAAGGCGCGGCGCTCCTGCTGCTTGCTCTCGTCCTCCACTCCCAGCGGGGAGTAGCCGTCTATGACCTGTGCAAGCAGCAGAAGTGGTGGTGAGACCTCTTCAAACCAAAATAACGAACACGTTGGGGGAGGGGAGGGGTGAAACGCACCCCGAGCACTCCTTTGCCCTGCGCGCTGCGGGCGAGGACGATCTGGCACGGGTTGGCGGTGGCGCAATGGATGGTGACCACCTCCTGCACCGCTTGAATCCGCTTCAGGACGTTGATGGGGTACTGGATCGCTCACGACGGAAGAGCGCCTGTTGGGTCAGCATGACGGTACACACGGAGGGACCACCAAGCATTGCGTGTGTGTGCGCGGAGGTGCGTACCGCATTTCTCATGAAGATGATGAAGCTGTGCCCGGCCCCGATCGCCAACGCTGCCAGGCGGTCAGCACAAAGCTACGACTCACACCCGCGCAGAAAGAAGACCAACAGAGCCCAGAGCTGCGCACCGTTGACCTTGGCCAGCTGCACGAGCTCCTCGCTGTTGCCGTCCCACCGCACCAGCCGATCGCCCGACGCCTCGCAGAACTGGGCACTCACCCCAGTCACACGCATGCACACCGCTGAAGAGAACGCGGCGAGAGGAGGGCGGCGCGTACGGCGAGGCCGAACTCGATGGAGGGAGAGCTGGTGGTGAGGGCCTCGTAGACATCCTCTACGGTCTTGATGAAGTGGGAGGTGCCGAAGATGAAATTCATGTCATCGGGCTTCTGCACTGACACCAAATCGAGCGTGAGCTGTGAGGGAGCACCTGTGTCCGCCATTGCCCGTGCTCTAGAGTGGTTCCTGGCTTGCTTGCCCTCTGGGCGTGCCTCCGGCCCAGGGCCAGGTGGGGCAGCACTTGAGCACCTTGCCCGAAAAACCGCGGACAATCCACGCGTTTCTCACGTGACACCTCACGAGTCTCGAAGACAGGGAAGACAGGCGCCCCAGACCTGCCCTATTACGGTCGAGAACTGGCAGCGCTTAATCCAAGCTCCATGGTGTAGTTGGCAGCATGCGTGATTTTGGTTCACGTGACCCGAGTTCGATTCTCGGTGGGGCTAAAACTGTTTTTGTTGTAATTTGTCCAGAGCCCGAGTGCTTTTCTTCTTGTCTTGTGATTTTTTGGCATTTTAGCAGATGGAGAGCCAAGGAGCCGCTGATGGCCATCTTATGGATGAAGTTGCGGCTGTCGCGCCTGCAGAAGTGGTGAGTGATCCCCCTGTGCCGCAGCAGACCGAAGATGAAAAGTACTGGGCCGCTGTGCGCGAGAATCCGGCCGATTTCTCGTCATGGACGTACCTGTTGCAGCTCGTGGATCACAAGGTACCCTCAATTCCTGCATGCGTCCAGATGATCGATCCCGCCCTTCTAAACGGCATGGCAGGCCGACATCAGCAGCATTCGCGAAGCGTACGATGGCTTCCTGGCCGAGTTCCCTCTTTGCTATGTCTACTGGAAGCGCTATGCCGATCATGAGGCGGCAGCAGGGTCCGCCCAGGACAAGGTGTCGGAAGTCTACCAGCGCTCGTTGGAGGCGTTCCCCTACAGCGTCGATCTGTGGACCTACTACTGCACCTATCTTGCCGAGAGGCTGGCCGATCCCACCCTTGTTCGAAGGTTTGCATTCCCTCTCGCCAAAATCTTGCTCGAGCTTTCTCTTTTCTATTCATGCATGCACTCGATTCCATTTTCAAAATTTCCTTCATTTCGTGGTTTTGCTGATCGGCTTGTTGGTACCCAAGTCGATAGATGTGTGTGTGAATTAACCTAGGCGCGCTAAATTGCCAATGAAGAGGCCTGTGAAGGTAACGAGGTTCGATTTATTGCATTTTTGGCATTCGTCTCATGTATTTCATGCATTCGATTACGCTTTTGCCTATCTCCAGACCCTATTCATCATGATTACTCTTTCGTCTCTGCCCGCTCCAGCTCACCGTGTCTCTTCCCGCGCCGCGCACAGCGTGTTCGAGCGAGCGGTCGAGAAGGTGGGCACCGACTACCTGGCCCAGAGCCTGTGGGACAAGTACCTCGACTACGAGCTCGCACAGAAGGACTTTGCCAACGTCACGCGGCTCTACTCGCGGGTGCTCGCCGTGCCCCTGGACGCGCTCGCCAAGTACTTGGAACGGTACGCCAACAAGATGCGTGACGTCAGCATCATTACACGACCACCACCATCTGCAATCCCGCGTCTGACCAGCTAACATTGAATGGTGAATGGTGGTCTCTACACTTTTCTGGTGCAGATGGAGGGTCTACGCGAGCGCCTACCCGGTGAGCGACATCCTCCCGGCCGAGGAGCTGGAGCAGCTGGCGGTGGAGGAGACTGAAGAAGCCAAGCGAGCGAAGGCCATCGCCTCGCGAGAGGAGGTGTACCAGGCCACGCTGCAGGAGCTGGCCAAGATTCAGCCGTTCGAGAACGTGGTACGCTTTCTTGCGCAGTCGCAGTGTATGTATGTCGCGTGTGTCGTGCCGTGTGTCGTGTGCGGTTGATCCTGACCTGCACCACGTTCTGTCGCGACTAGATCCGGGAGAGGCCCTACTTCCACGTGAAGCCCGTCTCCGAGGAGCTGCTCGACACATGGCACCGATACCTCACCTTCCAAGAGGCCGAAGGCAACGCCGCCCGGACCGTCAAACTCTACGAGCGCTGCCTGGTGCCCTGCGTACGCCCGACTCTGGAGCTCAGCGAGTCCTTCAGCGAAACGCACTTCTGAAAAAACTGATTGACCGACTGTGTCGTCGTGTGTGTGTGTGTGTGTGTGTGTGTGTGTGCAGTGTAACTACGTTATCTACTGGCGGAGGTATGCGCGATTCGTGGAGGAGGCGCTGGGCGCCGAGGAGGCTGTCCGCGTGTGGGAGCGGGCCACCGGTAAGCTCCTCAAGCGCCGACCAGAGCCCTTCCTCGACTTTGCGCTCTTCCGGGAGGCGCACGGCCAGGTCGACGAGGCGCGCGAGCTCTTCAAGCACGTCCTCGGTTTCGGTAATAGCCCACCTCGACCCGCCGACACACACACCACACACACAACTAAAGTTGTTACGGTGTATCTGGATATCCAGCTCCCGGCCACGCGGAAGCGACGCTCAGGTATGCGCAGCTGGAGCAGAGGCAGCAGAACTTTGACGGCGTGAACAGCATTCTCGAGGCGGCGACGGAGAGCCCCACATCGGAGGCGGTCGGCGCCTTCCTGGCCATGCACCACGCGCGCATCGTCGACCGCGCCGCACACGACGCCGCCAAGGCGCGCGGCATCTACGACCGCGCCCTGGAGCGCTACCCGAGCAACAAGAACCTGTGGCTCGCCGCCATCGATTTTGAGCTCGACCAGAGCGGACGACGTATTTCGGAGGCGGAGGAGGCCAGCGACGCGGTGCGATTTGCGCGGGTCGTCGCCCTCTACCAGCGAGCAACCGGCGACGCCTCGCTCCTGCCGGAGGATGACAAGCTGGAGCTGTGGCAGAACTACCTCGAGACCGTGCACGCGTTCGCCCCTCGCGTCGACATGTACGCGCTCCTCCTCCTCGAACCTGTCTTCTGGCCGATTTTGTTTGTCGCTCACGTTTTAATGGTTGTGGCTTGTTGTTTGCGTTAGTGTGCGCGAGGCGTCGAGCGCGTTCTTCAAGGCGTTCCCGTCGGGCAGGGTCAAGAGCAAGAAGAGGAGGCACGACGAGGAGGCCGACGCCAGCGCACACAAGAAGCTGTCGCGTCCCGCCGCCGTTCTTCCGTCGCCAGTCGGACCCGTGCCCACCCCTGCTGTTGCCGCACCTTACGTACGCCCTGCTTTTTTCAGTTTCGCTTTCGCTTCCAGTTCATTTCCGTGAGCAATGTGGTCGATGCTGTGAGATGGTTGTGGCTCATCAAATGTCGTGTGTGTGTGTGTGTGTGTGTGGTGCGTGAGCTTTAGGGCCAGGGCATGGGCTACGGCATGGGCGCGTACGGAGCGCCGGCAGCTGCGGGCGGCTACGGCGGCTATGGCGCGTACCCGCAGGCGGGTGGCTACGGTGCCTGGCCCCAACAGCCCCAGGCCGGCTACGCGGCAGCGGCACCGCAGCAGCAGCAGCAGGCCTATCCCGGCTACTCGGGCTACTACTGACGCTCCGTGCCGTCACGCTCTGCAAAGCACAACACAACAAGTAGACAAGATTTATTTGTCCTGTTTTTTTATTTATTTTCTGATTGCGCACAAAAGCTGCAGCCAGCGGGCGAAGAGGTGGCTGCTTCTTCCGCACAACGACGGACCGAAAGGGTGGCGTAGACTTCTCGCTCTTCGCCTCCGTTCTTCTCTCCATCATCTGTCTGGAATCACGGGTATTGTCATAGACAATTTGTGAAGATGACCGACGCGCAGAAGAGGCTCAATGTGTTCCCCACCCGAATGTACTAATCCCCCCCCAATCCCGGCCCGCAATTTCGAAGCCGCATTGGATCGAAAAAAAAGATTAGCGGCACTTGCTCACACCCGGATGCAGGACGCTTCAGCTCATGAAGGGTAAGCTGAAGGGCGCGCAGAGGGGTCACGATCTTCTCAAGAAGAAGGCCGACGCCCTGGCCATGCGCTTCCGCGTCATTCTCAAGAACATCAAAAAGGTTCGCCATTCGCCCTCCCCCAGGCGCCGCACGCGCAATCTGACAGTCCAAATCTACGCGAATTGCATGTAAATTCGTAGAACAAAGCGGCCATGGGTGCCATCATGAGGAAGGCCCACCTGTCGCTCGCCTCTGCCAAGTATGCCGCCGGTGAATTCAGGTGCGTTCCGCCTTCCCATGCTTGGCGCGCCTTGATCAGCGATTATACCTGGCTGGCCCATCGTTTTGTGTAGAGGGCGTCGTAACCCGTGGTTTGTTCTCATCTCTCTACTTTTTTCTTGATCGTTCGTTCGTTGCGTTCTTCCACAGCACGTCGGTGATCGAGAACGTCACACAGGCCACGTTCAAGGTCAAGCTCGACGAGGACAACGTGGCTGGTGTGCACTTGCCCATCTTCAAGAACTACGCCGACATCTCCAACTTGCGTACGCCTCCTCTTCTCCCTCTCTACGCGATCCTGCCACACCCGCGACAAACGGCTCACCTCACCTCGCTTCGCTTCCCTCTTTCTTCTCCTCCTCTTCTACGCTTGCGGCTGCATGGTGGCGTTCGACATCGTGCAGCGAAGGAGCTGCACGGTCTCGGCAGGGGTGGTCAGCAGGTGCGGGAGGCCCGCGAGACCTACATCAAGGCCCTCGACGCCCTCGTCGAGCTGGCCTCGCTCCAGGTCCCTCTCCCCATCGACCCCACTGCACAGCACATTCGCGATCGGCGGCGCAATGGCACATGGACTGACGATGGACACCAACACAGACGGCCTTCATGACGTTGGACGAGGTGATCAAGATCACCAACCGTCGTGTGAACGCCATCGAGTACGTGGTGCTGCCCCGTATCGACAACACCATCAAGTACATCATGTCGGAGCTCGACGAAGGCGAGAGGGAGGAGTTCTACAGACTCAAGATGATTCAGAAGAAGAAGGAACAGAGGAAGAAGGCCGCCGCCGCCGCCAAGGGCGTGGACGTCGAAGGTACTGCGCATCTGCTTTTCTTTTCTTTTCTCTCCCATTACCCTTAGTTTTCTAATTCTATTTTTCCCCTCCCGCCTTGCAGACGAGGTGCCCTACCAGCAGCAGATCGAGCAGCCCTCGGACTTGACCAACGAGGCCAGGGATCCCGACCTTTTGTTCGCCGACTAAGTCTGCACTCGAGCGCTCTCTGTCTGTCCCTCTCGTCCCTCTCCGCACCACCAACAATTTCAATGGACATTGAACTGCATCAGCCCCCGTGGTGTTGCGGCTCTTGCTGTACACGTGCTTCTTCTCCCCACTTCCTGGTCACGGCGCCGCAACCATGGCCTTCTTGTTGCACCGTCTTGTTTCAATTTTACATCCTGTTCCAGGAAAACAAAACAACCCTCCTTTACATTTCAAGAGGGGGAAGGAGCAAGGATGGGAGTCAAGGATCTGTGGCAGCTGCTTGCCCCTGCCGGCCGCTACTCCTCCCTCGAGAGCCTCAAGCACAAGCGAATTGCCATAGGTACGCTGTGCATGTCAATCTCTGATTAGGACTTCAAACCCCCCCCCCACTGGTGGTGGATGCAAAAAGCTCTTTTTGCATCTATTTATGCACGAGTGTGGTGCCACTTGGGCTGGGGTGTGGTGCAGACACGTCCATATGGCTGGTGCAGTTTGGGGCACTCACGGACGACCGCACCGGCAAGGCCATCCCCTTCGCCCAGCTGCGGGGCCTCTTCCACCGCATATGCAAGCTCCTCTTCTTCGGCATCAAACCCGGTACACGTGACGTGCTTGCACACCTCTGCCGCACCTCTTCCTTCCTCCTCTGTTCGTGCTGACTGACCGTCGCGAGGCCAGTGTTCGTGTTCGACGGCGGCGTGCCCGTGCTCAAGCGCCGAACGATGGTGCGGCGCAAACAATTGCGCGCTCGTTGCCGCACTCGCTGACTCGACACACACACACACACATGACATAGGCGGCGAGGCAGCGACAACGGGACGCGCAGACGGAGAAGAATGTGACGAAGGTCGCCGAGCGCCTGCTGCAGCAAACTCTGGGCGAGGCCCGCTACAAGGAGCTGCTCGAGCAGAGCAAGAGCAACCGCCACAAGAAGCGAAAGGCGCGGGATCAAGCGACGCCTCACGGCCCTGGTTCGCACGCCGGCAAGAAGCCCAAGGAATCCGATGCGTGGTCGTCGTTATCACCATCAACGACAACCTCGCCAACCAAAACATCGACGAACACCGAGAGAGTAAATGATGACGGCGACGACGATGACGTGATCGAGTGGGAGGGTCCCACGAGCGACGACAGCAACTACTTCTCGCAGCAGCAGCCACAGCCGGAGACTGCGAGTTCGGCCAAGCCCGAGCTTGACGCGCAGGTCATCGAGATACTTCGCGCCCTGGGCATCGATGTCGACGTGTATGAACCCCTCTTGTCTCGCACGCGCGCTTGGGTGCTAAACTTGTTTTGGTGTCGTTGCGTTCGTCACCGGTGTGTGTCGTTGTGTGTCGTGTGGTGCAGCTATGCGTCGCTGCCCAAGGGCATCCAGGTGGAGATCATGTCCAACGCCAGGGGCCTCGAAAAGCACCTCTCCACCAGCGCCGCGCCTTCGCACACCGAAGCCATATCCCTTACACCACTTCCCCCTGTCAAAGTTTCAGTTTCGGTTTCGGTTTCAGTTTCACTTTCGTTTGTTGTGTTGTGTTGTGTTCGTTTGTGTTGGTCGTTTCCTTGACCTACGGGTCGCACTCGCCGGAGAAGTTCTCGGAGCACCAGATGCTGAACCTCATCAAGACCGGCCGCCTCAATCGCAAGATGCACCATCTCGTACGTTGATTGCTTGCGCTCCGCCTCCTTCTTGGCCTGGCCTGGCTTTCGCCACTCACGTGTGGCGCTGGCGGCGGTCGTTAAGAGGGCCAACGTCGAGGCGACCAACCGGCAGATGATCGCGTCCGACGCCGATCGCGAATTCCTCCTCATCAAGACCGCTCCCGCCTCCCAGCAGGTTTCGCCTTGTCCTCTCCGCCACCCATCACCTTCACCCATCACCGTCATCCCCGCAACTTTCTTTCTTTCTTTCTTTCTTCCTCCTCTCTTCTCTCTTTGTTGAACACGACCTGCAGGCTCAGAAGAACGAAGAAAACGAAGAGGAGAACGAAGAAGATGAAGCGGGGAGCGGAGGGTTCCTCGTGGACGACGACGACGAAGGCGATGATGAGGTGGTGGCGGTCCAATCTCGAGAACGAGCGCAGCGGCCTCCACTGGAGCAGAACAAAGAGAGTTCTGCGGGCGGATTTTTGGTGGAGGACGAAGATGAGGATTTCGACGATCGCGTGCGTCGAGGAGGAGGTCTCCAATCTCGAGCGCGAGAAGTCGGCGAAGCCGAGGAAGAGCTCCTGGGTGCGGGCGGCGGCTTCGTCGAAGAAAGCGAAGACGACGAGCAACTGGAAAACGAAGCGCGAGGCGGTACGCCCGTGAGGACAGTTCTTCGAGAGAGAGAAGGAGAGATGAGAAGGGCAAACAGAAGCTGCGCGATGACGACGACGGCGACGAAGAAGAAGGCGCCATGCGGCCTAGCTTCGAGCAGGTGCCGATGAGCTTTGACCAGCACCAGCACCAGCAGCACTTCGACGACGAAGACGAAGACCCGCTCATTCCGCGACGGAAGCGCATGGAGCGGCAGCGTTCGGCGTCGGCAATGATCGTCGACGCGCCCAGTGAATGGGGGAGCCACCAGACGCGGGCGAAGACGAAGTCGAAGACGCCCAGCTCCAGCGGGCTCTGGAGCTGTCGCTCCTCGAGACCACCACCGAGGCCGCCACCCGGACGGCGCCGACGATGGCGACGACGGACAAAAGCGAAAGCGGGCCGTGGAAGAGCGAAAGCGAAAGCGAAGCCGCGAGACCAAAGCGAAAGGGGGAGGAGCTCGAGGAGGAGGAACTTCGTCGGGCGCTCGAGCTGTCCCTGGCCGAGGAGCAAGAGGCGGCGCGCCGACGAGCCGGCGGCTCCGAAAAGGAGGTGGTGGTGATACTCGACGACGATGACGGCGGCAACGACGGTGACGACGGCCGAGGGAAAGAAAATCGAAAAGAAGAAGACGATGATGACGACGAAGAGGAGGAGCTGTTCGTGCGGGTGGAGATGGACGAGGCGGGGTCCAATCCCTTCGACGAAATATTTGGGGTCGGGCGGGCACCTGAGGCGGACCCGCGGCCCGCGGCCGCTCAGAAGAACGAAGAAGACAAGCGAAGGATGGGCAGGGACGATCTCGAAATCGACGGCAACGACGAAGACGACATCGAAGTCGAATGGGAGGCGGTCGAGGTGGGTTCGCCGGCCATCCGCGAAGAAGAAGAAAAAGAAAAAGAAGAGAAGCGCGATAAGGGAAAGGAGAAGGTGGTCGACGACAGCAACGCGTGGCACACGGCCATCGTGGTCGATGACGATGACAACGACGACGACGACGATGGCGTGAAGCCGACGGACGCGAGCCTGTCGTACGACGACGACGAGGCGCTCGCCATGCTGCTGCAGCGTCAGGAGGAAGAGAACGCCATGTCGGCCGCGCGATTGGGCGACAACGACGGCAACGCAGGAGGAGGAGGACGAGGACGAGGCCGGGGCGGCGATCAAGCGTCAGTTCTTCGAGGAGATGGGGATGGTGGGGGCCAAGGCCGGGCGGACGCCGGACGACGTCGAGCGCGAGATGGGGCGCGAGGCCCTCGCCCTCTCCCGCCAGGCCCGCAACACCACCTCGTCCCTCACCCACGACGCCCTCACCGACTGCATCGTGCGCACCCTCGCCCGCCGTCGTTCGTATTCGTGTGTCGTTGTGTGCGGTGTGTGTTTCTGTGTGTGTCATTGTGTGCGGTTTGTGTTTCGGAGTCACCACTCATGGTGTCGAGTGTCGTTGTGTGTGTGTTGTGTGTGTGTGTGTGTGTGTGTGTCTTGTCACCAGGCGATGCTGCAGCTGTTTGGCATTCCGTACGTGGTGGCGCCGATGGAGGCCGAGGCGCAGTGCGGGTTCCTCGACAACGCGGGCCTCGTGCACGGCGTCATCACCGAAGACAGCGACATCTTCCTCGTCGGCGGCCAAACCGTCTACCGCAACGTACGCCCCCCCGCTTTCCCTCTTGTGCCCCTATGACGTGTCGTCATTGACAACCAACCCTGTGTGCGTGCGCGTTGTGTGCGGTGGTGCGTGTGCGGTCACGTTTGGGTGGGCGCAGGTGTTCAGCAAGCGCCGGCAGGTCGAGGTGTACACGATGGGCGACATCAAGACGCACCTGGCGCTGGACCGCGAGAAGCTCATCGCGCTCGCGCTCCTCCTGGGCAGCGACTACACCGAGGGGGTGCGCGGGGTGGGCGTGGCGACGGCGATGGAGATCATCGGCCTCTTCGACAGCCTCGACGACTTCAAGGCCTGGTGGCAGCGCCCGAGCCACGAACACGACGACGACGACGACCCCACCGATCCTCACGCCGACGCCAAGAAGCGACTCGTACGCCTCCCACTCTCTCACTCATGCGTGTCGTTGGTCGTGTCGTGTCGTGGCACACACCGTGTTGACGCGTGTGTGGGGGCGCGCGCAGGGGTGGCTGCGGACGAAGGTGACGCTGCGAGAGGACTTTCCGAGCGGGGCCGTGGCGGAGGCCTACCGCCACCCGCAGGTCGACGACTCGCAGGAGCGGTTCGAGTGGGGCCTGCCGGACCTCGACGGGCTGCGCCGGTTCGCGCAGGCCAAGATGGGCTGGCCCGACGACAAGGTCGACGAACTGGTCCTGCCCCTCCTCCAGCGCCAGGCCGAGGCCGAGCACGCCGCCGCCGCCGCCGCGGGCGATGGCAGCCAGGCGGGCGGCGACCTGCAGACGGCCATCAGCGACTTCTTCAGCTCCAACCGCCGCCTCAACCCCAAAATCAAGAGGTAACCAACATTCGCGTGTGTGTGTGCGTGTGCGATTGATGGATTGATTTCGTTTTGTGGGATGTACGGCAGTGCGCGTGTGCAGAATGCGGTGCTGAGGATGCTGGGGCGCGAGCCAACGGAAATGGAGACGCAGAACAAAACGAAAGCGAAAACGGCGGGGGCGGCCAAGAAGGAGGTGGTGGTGCTGCAGCCCCGCAACACGGTGGTCAAGCGCCGGGCGCCCTCGCCCACCAGCACCAGCACCACCACCAGCAAGAAGAAGAAGAAGAAGAACAAGAAGGGGGAGGAGAAGCAAAAGAAGGAAAGCGACAACAGCGAGAAGGCCGAAGAAGAAGGCGATGATGACGACGACGACGACGCGGGAGTGGAGGCGATGAGCGTGACCGAACTCAAAGCCGAGCTGAGGAAGCGCGGGCAGCGGGTGACGGGGCGCAAGGAGGAGCTGGTGCGGCGGCTCAAGGAGGCCCTGCGGCGCGAACGCGAGTGGAACGACGAGCGCAGGCGAAAGCAGGCGGAGGCCGAGGCTGAGCAAACGCCGGCGGTGGAGGAGGGCGAGGAGAAGACCGCGGTGGCGCACCACCACCACGACGACGCGATGGACGCGGAGGCGGTGGATGATGACGCCAAGTCCCGGAGTGGAGAACGAAGGGAGGAGGAAGCAGAGGTGGGCGTGGTGGTGGTGGGCGAGGGCGAGGGCGGAGCAGAAGAAGCGGAGGAGAAGAAGCAAAAAGAGGAACCCGAGAACGAGGAGGTGGGCAAAGAAGCAGTGACAGCGGCGCCCAAGAAGCGCAAGCGTATGATCGTGATCCCGTGATGATGTCTGCCTGCTGTGCCGGCGTGCCAGAAACAACAAGAGATGCATCATTAGCATCATTACCGCAGCACCACCAGCGACCTCTCTTCCCAAGTACCATCTTCCCGTCGTAGTTACGCCCCCCCCCCATCGGCAGTGGTGGACATTCTGTACACATAAAAGTTGCACGTGGCCCACACTAGTCGGCCTCGGCTTCGAGCTGCTCTTCGAAGTTGATGGGTTCAGCGTCGTCGTTCTCGTCCTCGTCGGTGAGCTCGCACAGATCGGCCTGCTGCTGGTTGAGGTACTCCATGTACACGTCGTACTCTGCGCGTGGCCAATTTATATATTCGTCAGCCAAGTACAGCCAAGTACAGTCCACCAACCAATCGCGCACGAACGAGACGAGACGAGAAGAGACGAGGGGCGTACGAAGGGGAGACTGTCTGGTGTTGAGGGCCTGGCGGTGGAAGCGCCCGTCCTGCAGGTACAGCACCCGATCCGCGTAGCACTCCAGATCCGGGTTGTGCGTCACCTGCACCGCACGCGTGACATGAATTGAGCAGCGCAGCGCATGATGATGCCAATGGTAATGGTGGATGGTGGATGGTGGTGGTACCATGAGGCAGGTGGTCTTGAGCTTTTGGTTGATGGAGAGCAGGAGGTCCATCACCTGGATCGTGTTCTTCGTGTCGAGATCGCCCGTGGGCTCGTCGAGCAGTAGGATCACCGGCTCATTGGCCAGCGCACGCGCGATCGCCCTAATATTTCATTGATTGTATGAGGATTTATATTATATTATATTATATATAAATATCGCCACCGCGTGCGTGAAGTGTGGGCGTACACTCTCTGCTGTTCACCACCGGACAGCTCCGAAGGCTGGATTTCCGGGAACGCGAAGCAGGCGACGAGAAGAACGGCGCAACCATGTCAGCGTGTGTCGTGTGTGTCGTGTGTGTCGTGTGGTACCAAATGCTGCTCTCTGTCCCGCAGGCCAACGACTGTCAAGAGAGGGAGGGGATGGTTGAGTTGCAGTGGCCACGCGAATACGGAAGTGGTGTGCGTGTGCGGTGTGTGTTGTGGTGCGGTGTGTGCGGTCGTGCGTTGGTGCGTTGGTGCGTGGTGGTGGTGAGTACGAGCGAGAAGGTCGCGGGTGCGCTTCTTGCACTGCTTGGCGGAGAGCTTGCCGAGGATGGTCATGGGCAGCTCCACATTCTCGTAGGCCGACATGGTGGCCAGCAGGTTGAACGTCTGGAACACGAACCCTGCGCGCGTTTGTGAGCCCTCCCCCTCGCGCAGCGCGTGCCGTGCGTGCCATGTCTCGTCCGTCCGTGCGTGTCGCGTGTCGCGTGTCGTGTGTGCGTCGTGTGTCGTGTGTCGTGTGTCGAGTGTCGAGTGTCGAGTGTCGTGTGTGTCGTGTGTGTCGTGTGTGTCGTGTGTCTACCGATCTTCTCGAGTCGGAGCATGGCGAGGAAGTTGTCGTCGGACTTGGCCGTGATCGGGGTCCCCAGCAACTCTTTGATGGCAATGCAACCGCGGGTGTAGAGAAGGGGCGATGGTTGGTCGAGTAGCGCGGCCGGTTGGAAAAACAACAAAAGAATGGCGGGGGCGGGGGCGGGGCTGTACCGATGGTGCCGCCGGTGGGCTTGTCGATGGTGCCCAGGATGTTCATCATCGTCGTCTTGCCGCCGCCCGACGGGCCGCGCAGCATCACGAACTCGCCCCTGCGCGCGTTCGCCGACATCATCAACAACATCAGCGTCGTCGTCGTTATCGCGGGAAAGGAACAGAAGAAGAAGAACGAGAGCTCTTCTTCTTCTTCTTCATTTTCGTTTCGTGCGTACCTACGAATGGGGTAGAACTCGGAGCCGGGAGCGAGGTGGATGTCGTGGAGGGCCTTCACCACGTCCTGCCGCCCCTCGATGCTGTAGTCTACACTCGCACACAAGCACAATTATTATTTATTATTATTTACTATTTATTTTATGAATTATTAGTAATTATTATTCATTTCTATTATTTAGGAATGATGAATTATTATTTGTGTAGAGGCAAATAATTAAAAATAAAAATAAAGGGGGGCGTTGGTACGTTTGCTGAGGTGGCGAACGGTGATGACGGGGTCGCCGAGAGGTTTGCGCACCATGGCGAGCAGGGGCAGCCCATCCGAGTCCAGCGCCACCTCTTCGTCCTCTTCAAACCGTCGCCCGCTCACTCGTTCCTCATCGTGACTCATTCTTTCTGTTTTTTCGGATCGATCCTGCCCTGCCGCCAACGATTATAAAGATGCGAGACGAAGAAGATGGGAGACAGAACGCACCGGCTGCTTCGCTCTGATCAAAAGGTGACGACACGCGACGCCACAGCTGCTCCCTCTGAATACCTCGCGCCCGGGTGGAATGTCGCTGCTTGCCGGCTGGTCAACCCGCGCATACCTCAAATATTCATTCGCTTTCGGCCCATTTCGTAACTCCGACAGGGGTATTTTCCGGTCGTTTCTCTTCCTCCAGGCCTCGTAGTGTCGCTCTAGCGGTCGCTGGCGTCGCTGCCTCCCTCGTGTCCGTGCTCACCCGCGCGTGCTGCTGGGTAGTCGTCGTGGTGGTGGTGGTCGCGCTGCTGGTGCATGCCGCGCAAGAGGCCTCGAGTCCTCTTTCCCGCACGGGTGGACGGCGCTCAATTTCTGCAGGTCGGTCAACGTGCGTGTCGTGGCGTGTCCTCTGGTCTGGTCTGGTCTGGTCTGGTCTCCAGAGTGAGCAGAGTACGTCACCGGTGCAGGCCTCCTCAGTGGTGGTAGGAGGGGAGGGAGTCATCGATGCGCGCGGTCCACGCCGCCAGACCGCCGGCGAGGTTGTATACTCGGTCGAACCCGATGGCCCGCAGCTGCTGCGTCACCAGGTGGCTGCGCTGGCCCAGGTGACACACCACCACCACCTGTGCTGGTCGCCGTTGTTGTTGATGTTGTTGGAGGTTTGGCTGTGGTTAGGAGGTCTCATCACCGCCGCCACCAGCAGCGCGCGTGTAGCGGCGGCCCGCACCTCATCGGCGATGAAGGGCCGCAGCTCGTGCAGGCGCTGGCCCAGCTGGCCCATGGGGATGTGCACGAAGTAGAACCCTTCGTCGCGGCCTCGTCGAGCTACGGGCACCTCTGCTCTGGAGGCGCACGACCTCTTCCACTTCGTAGCCGATTTCGAGCCGCTCCCCACGACCAGCGCGTGGCATCCACTTCTTCCTCTTCTCGTCCTCTTCCTGGCGTGGCTCTGTCGATTGTGGCTTGTTGCACTCTGCCGCGTTCACGAGCTGCAGTTGGTGAGCATCTTGAAACTGGAGCTGCCCGGTCTGTTCGAGATGTCGTCGCAGATCGCACATTCGCCGCTCAAATGACTCGCGCACGTCGAGTAGCAGCAATCGCTGCTTCCCATCCTGGGCACGATCTTTTCTTTGACTACCGCCAGCATCCCCTGGCTGCCAGTCGCTGTGCGAGCTCCTCCACCTCCATCACCGCCGTGGGCTCCATTCCATTCGATCGTGGAAAAGGAGAGAAACTCTTCCGCGATTGCTGTCATTCCAACACACAAGCCGACAACGCGTTCAAGTCGAGTCGTGCTGGCACACTTGAACCCGGAGGCGTAGAAACAAAGGATGAAGATCTATGCACAAGTGCTGGGCACAGCGACGGGAGATTCCACCCCAACGCTGCTCATTTTCTTCGATCAGAAGCGATTTCTCTTCAACTGCGGAGAGGGCACCCAGCGTTTTTGCACCGAACACAAGGCACGTACACTGTTACGCGCCCCATCCTGATGAAATGATGATTTCGAAAGAATCTCATCATAATAAATCGCTACACAGATCCGCTTGGCCCGGATCAAGGACATCTTTTTGACTCGCCTCCACTGGGAGAACACTGGCGGTCTGCCGGGTACGTCACACGCGGCCTGGTGTGTCGTGCTTTCATCCATGTCTCTGTCTCTGTGTTGCGTTTCCTCCTCCACCACCTCCACCTTTTGTTCACCACGGGTGTTGTGTGCATTTTGAGTGCAGGCGCGCTGCTGACGGTGGCCGATGCGTTGCAGCACATGCCCGGTCCGCAGAGCATCTCCATCTACGGCCCGCGCCACACGCGCAACTTCATCACCAGCCTCCGCTACTTCATCAACAGGTGATCAATCATCACCATGAGCGTTTGATGTAGCCAAGCGCTCACGTGAGTCGTCATTCTGCGCATACCGCACACGCCGCACACACGGCACACGCACACGCCGCGCGCACACGCAGGAAGCACATGGTACTGAACGCGCGCGAGTTCGTGGAGGACGCGGCCCATCCCGAGGCGACGGTGTTCGACGACGGCAACCTGCGCATCGCCGCCGTGGAGCTCGTCCTCCCCTCGGAGCCCGCCACGCTCGCCCCGTGCCGCTCGGTGGCCCCGCCGGCGCCGGCGCGCCCCCAGCCTGCTGACGTCGACAGTGTCGACACCGCCGACGCGGCCAAAGGGAAAGAGAAAGAGGAGGAGGTGAAGGAGAAGGAAGAAGAGAAAGGCAAGGAAAAGCGAAAGGAAAGCGAAGTCGAGCTGGAGAAGGAGAAGGCGGCCATGGCCAGCGAGGCGGTCGAGGCCGGGGCGGCGGCGGCCGCGGGGAATCGGAAGAGAAAGTCGCGAGGCGGTCCGCACCAGTGGGTGTTCTCGTCGGTGGCCGACTCGCCGGCCTACGACCGGGGCGACCGGTCGTCGAGCATCGTGCTCGCTCACGACGTCGGCCGAATGGCCAAGGCCACAGCTACGACCGCCGACGACGACGACGGAGCGAGCTCGCCCTCCGCGCACGCGCCCCTGCGAAAACGTACCAAATGTATTAATCGCGTATTTATTTTATTTTGCACAGTGGCACGCGTGCGGCCTCCGACTCACTCGTGTCGTGTGTGTGCGTCGTGTGTCGTGTCGTGTGTCGATGGGCAGCAGGGGGCCATGATGACGAGGCGACGGGTCGAGTGGCGCCGCTGGTGGAGCGAAACGGAGGTCCGTCGACGGCGGTGGTGTGCTACATCTGCCGATCGCCCGACCTCCCCGGCAAGTTCGACCCCAAGCAGGCCAAGGCCCTGGGCGTGCCCTCCGGCCCTCTCTTCGGTACCTGCCACCAAGCGACACTTTCTTTTTATTTATTTATGTTATTGAAATTGTTTCGAGATTGTTTGCCACAACTAAAACTAAATTGGGTTGGGCCAGGCCGGTTGACCAAGGGAGAGACCATCATGATGGCCGACGGCCGGCAGGTGAAGCCCTCGGACTGCATCGGCCCGTCGCGCCCCGGCACCGTGTTCGCGATCGTGCACTGCCCGTCGGAGGCCTACGTCGACGTGCTGGTCCACCACCCGGCCTGGCGCCCCTACACCGGCCCGCAGCCGCAGATCGCCGCCGGCTGCGTGCTCCACATCACGCCCCAGCACGTACTCACCCACAGCGACGCCTACCGCGCCTGGATGCACTCCTTCGGCCCCAACACCCAGGTACGCGTTGACCGTGTGTCGTGTGTGTGTCGCGTGCGTGTCGCGTGCGTCGCGCGTGTCGCGGGAAGCTAATCTCTCTCTCTGTGTGTATGTGTGTGTGTGTGTGTGTGTGCTGTGACAGCACGTGTTGGTGAACGAGCACGCGTGTCCGCAGCGACCGGTGTTCATCGGGGCCACGCGCAACCACCACAAGCTCCACGCGCTCCACCCGGGCATCTTCCCCATGCCCCACATCGACTACAGCGTCCCCACCCTCCCCGGTATGCACCCCCCCCCAACTCACCAAACGCATTCCGTTCATGCCAGCGTTGCTTGGAATGACACGCACGCATTCTTTCTTTCTTTCTTTCTCTGATCATCAGGCGGGCTGCCCAAGAAGGCGGTGGTGGCCGAGCCGCTGCTCAAATTCCTTCTCGCCCCGCCCACAGCCGTCGGTGCGCTTTCCCTCGAGTATGCGTGTTCTTCACCGGGCCGTCACATTATTAACATTCCGTGTGCGTGTGCGTGTGCGTGTGTGCGTGTGCGTGCGTGTGTGCGTGTGCGTGTGCGTCGTCTCATCCCAGGGTTGGACACGAGCGAGGTGTTGAAGCCGATCGACGAGCAGGAGGTGGCGGAGGAGATGGAGAGCAACGAGGAGCTGCGCGAGTCGAGCGCGGTGCTGCGCGCGTGGCTCCGCGCGTTCGAGGGGAGCGAGGCCGCGCTGGCCACCCGACAACGATTCGGCGGGGCGGATCGCCAGCCGGAGGTGGTCTTCCTGGGCACCGGCGCCGCCATCCCCTCCAAGTACCGCAACGGTCCGTCGCCACCCATCAGCCCCAGCCTCGCCACGTCATCCATGCTGACATGTGCGTGTGCGATGGTGTGTGCGCGTGCGGTGTGCGTGCGGTGTGTGTGTGTGTGTGATGTGTGCGTGTGCAGTGTCATCGGTCTACGTGTCGGTGCCGTCGTTCGGGGGCTGTTGATGGACTCCGGCGAGGGCAGCTTCGGGCAGCTCGCCCGCCGATTCGGCACCGAGCGCGCCCTGCGCGTGGTGGCCGAGCTGCAGGTGGTGCTCATCTCGCACATGCACGCCGACCACCACCTGGGCCTGCTTCGCATTCTCGCCATTCGCCAGGAGCTCATCGCTGCGTCCCGATGGAATTCAAAGAAGCCTGAAACGTCCGAGGCCGAGGCCGAGGAAGAGGAGGCGCTGGTGGTGGTGGGTCCGCCGGCGCTGAAGGAGTGGCTGGACGAGTACTCGTCCCAGATCGAGCGGCTGGCCTACCGCTTCGTGCCCTGCCACGCCCTCAACCAGCCGCAGCACCCCGTCCGGTACCTCTCTCGCGCCTCGCCTACACACGGCCATGGATGCTTACGTGTCGTGTGTGCGGCGTGGGGGGGGGTGGCGTGTGGCGTGTGGCGTGTGTCGTGTGGCGTGTGTCGTGTGTCGTGCGGTGTGTGTCGTGTGTCGTAGGGGTCATCTGGAGAGGTCCCTGGGGCTGGTGGAGGTGCATAGCACGGAGGTGGTCCACTGCCCGTTCGCCTACGGCTTTGCCCTCACGCACCAGTCCGGCTGGAAGATCGTCTACTCTGGTACCGCCCCCGCCCTCCGACCACACGACGCAGGTTTCCGGGGCCGAATGTTTTTCTAATCGGGCGGTGGTGCGCGACGCAGGGGACACGCGCCCGTGTGCGCAGCTGGCGGAGGTGGGGCGCGGCGCGACGCTGCTGATCCACGAGGCCACGTTCGAGGACGCCATGGCCGACGAGGCCGTCGCCAAATACCACTCCACCACCACCGAGGCCCTCTCCTCCGGCGCCGAGTACGTCTCTCTTCCCCCCGTCGTGTTTCGTGTCGTTGGTCGTGTCGTGTCGTGTCTTCGCGCTCACGAATCAACAACACGTGTGCGTGCAGGATGGGGGCCGAGTTCGTGGCGATGTTCCACTTCAGCCAGAGGTACCCCAAGATTCCGGTGGTGGAGTCGAGCGCCGCGGAGCACATGGGCATCGCCTTCGACCTCATGTCGACGCCGCTCCACCTCCTGCCCGTGCTGCCCCACCTCCTGCCGCCGCTCCGCGCCCTCTTCACGAGGAAGCCGACGACGGCGACGACGAGGAGGCCGCCGCCGCCGCCACCAAGTCATAAGTTCTTTTTCTCTTCGTACATCACACCTTTGGGCTTCATTGATGGAAAGGGTTCGAGAGTGTTGTGTAAAAGTATAATAAAAATAAAAATGAATGAATGAATGAATGAATGAACACATTGAAGAGAGCTCAGGGCCACACGGCGGGCGGCTCGTGGCCCTCCTCGTCGTCATCGGTGGCGGTGGCGGCGGCAACGGTGGTGGTCCCGACGTCGGCGATGTCGTGGGTGGACCGGACCTTGCAATGTACATACATGCGGGTGGGTTCGTCGAGCACGAAGCTGGGCGAACCGCCGGGACGCCGCAAGTGGTCGTGCCGTGCCACCACCTCCAGTCACGCGTCCTTGGAGAGGTTGAGGAAGGACTCGATCGTCTGCTTGAGGGACTCGGCGTGGATGGGCTTCGAGATGTACCCGTCCATGCCGCCCTCGAGGCACTTCTCTCGATAGCCCTGGATGGCGTGCGCGGTCATGGCGACGATCGGCGTGTGGCCCTTGCCCTGCCGCTTCTCGAGCTCGCGGATCTTGGCCGTCGCCTCGAAGCCGCCCATCTCCGGCATCTGGACGTCCATGAGGATCAGGTCGAACCGATGCCCGCGAGCCGCCTCGACCGCCTTCCGTCCGTTGTCTGCCAGCGTCACCGCATAGCCAAACCTTTCCAACAATCTGCCATCATCGACCACACAAACGACGTCAGGCCCCAAAAAGCAACCAACAAGAAGCCCAAGAGAAGAGGAGGAGGAGCTGTGTGCGTACCTGATGGCAAGCTTCTGATTGACGACGTTGTCCTCGGCGAGAAGGATCTTCTGCTTGGGCTTGCCCTGCACGGTGAGGAGCGGCGAGCCCCCGGCGGTGGTGTCGCTGCCGGTGGAGGCCATGTGGATGGGCTCCTTCTCGAAGGGCTTGAGCAGGGCGTAGAGAAGCTCGCTCTGACCCACCGGCTTGTTGAGGTAGGCACACATGGGCGGACACGAGTGCTGGCTCAGTATGTCTGCATTGCACGAAGAACACGGTCAGTATTGTGCGTGTCGTGTTGTTATGTTGTTGTGTTGTGTCTCTTGTGCGGTCGTACCACGCTTGGAGGTGGTGGGTGAGAGCATGAGGATGATCATCGTCTCCTTGGTGATGATTCGGTTCTCGGTGAACTGCGCGACGGTGAGGCCTTCGAGGTCGTCCGGGATCTGCGAGACGAGCAGCACATACTCGAAGGGCTTCTGTGCGAGCGACGACTCAGCGAAGAGCTCGGTGGCCTCGTGCACGGTGTCGACCAGCACGGGCTCCATCTGCCAGTGTAGGAGCATCTGGGAGAGGATGCGGCGCGAGGTGATGTTGGCGTCGACCAGCAGCACGCGGCGGCTCGAGAGGATGGCCGTCTGCTGCTTCTGGTGCGGCGACTCGTCGCGGCCCAGGCCGAACGTGGCCGTGAAGTGGAACAGACTGCCCTTGTCCGGGACGCTCTCGGCCGTGAGTTTACCCTGCGCGCGAAGGAGGAAAAGCATAAGCTTAGCAGGTGGAGAGCAACAAAGCGTCAAAGAAGCGAGTGAGCGAGAGAGAGAGAGAGAAATAGAGTGGAGAATGGCAATCCAGGGATGATGGATCGGTGTGGGATATTCACCGGTGCAGTTTCCCCTACCTGCATGAGCTGCACGAGGCGCGTGGAGATGGTGAGACCGAGGCCGGTACCACCGTACTTGCGGGTGATGGACCCGTCGGCCTGCGAGAAGGCCTCGAAGATGACGGAGAGCTTGTCGGCGGGGATGCCGATGCCCGTGTCGCGCACGGCAAAATGGAGGACGACCGAGTCGGCGTTCCTCTGCTGCATCTGCACCGAGAGGACGACCTCGCCCTTGGACGTGAACTTGATAGCGTTGCCCACTAAACGAGGTCGGAGTCAGGCAATGAACAACAGCAATAACAAGAAGCCGGAAAGAAGGAAGGAAAGAAAGAAGAGCGACGCGGGTACCTAGGTTGATGATGACCTGCCGCAGTCGCACGGGATCACCGACCAGCTTGTCGGGCAGTGTGGGCTCGATATCGCTCAGAAGCTCGATGCCCTTCTCATGGGCCTTGAGCGCCAGCGCCTTGAGCGTGTCGCCCAGGGTCTCGTGAAGCGACATATCTGCACGTGTGTTGTCGGTGAGCAAAAACGCGAAAACAAGTACTGAAACGGCATTGGAGCGAAGTGTGGCGGTGCGCGTACCGATGTGCTCAATGTCGAGCTTACCGGCCTCAATCTTGGAGAAATCGAGGATGTCGTTGATGATGGTGAGCAGACCCAGCGCCGAGGAGTGCACCAGCTTCAGGTAGTCGCGCTGCTCGGAGCTCAGCTGAGTGTCCAGCGCCAGCTCGGTCATACCGATGATACCGTTCTGGAAAGTTAAAGGTGAGAAGACAAGCGCTTGGCGTGCGGCTTTTCGACAGAACTGGGCGTACCATGGGCGTTCGGATCTCGTGTGACATGTTGGCCATGAACTCGGTCTTGGCCCTGTTGGCTTCGTTGGCGAGCGCGGTCTTGATGAGCATCTCCTTGAGCGTGCAGATCATCTCGTTGATTATAGTCTTCAGGGTGTTCATCTCTCCGTAGGCCTCGACGGTGATGAAACGGGTGAAGTCGCCCTTGGTCACGGCTCGCGCCACCTCGGCAATGGCTCGCACCTGTGCGCATACACAACAGCAATCGTCAGGTGGTGCGGGACCGTAGAAGGCGAGCTCAAAAAGCACAAGAAAAGCGTCTGTACCTGATTGGTCAAGTTGGCCGCCATGGTGTTCACGTTGGTCGTAAGGTCCTCCCAGATACCGGAGACGCCCTTGACCTGCGCCTGGCCGCCGAGCTTGCCCTCTGTGCCGACCTCGCGAGCGACTCGAGTCACCTCCGACGCGAACGTGTTGAGCTGATCCACCATGGTGTTGATTGTCGACTTGAGCTCGAGGATCTCGCCCTTGGCGTCGGCCGTCATCTTCTTCGACAGATCGCCCTTCGCCACGGCCGTCGTCACTTGCGCGATGGCGCGCACTTGACCCGTGAGGTTGGCCGCCATGGTGTTCACGTTGTACGTGAGGTCCTTCCAGATGCCCGATACACCGCGCACGTGGGCCTGGCCGCCGAGCTTGCCCTCCGTGCCGACCTCGCCGGCCACTCGGGTCACCTCCGACGCGAACGAGTTGAGCTGATCCACCATGGTGTTGATCGTGTTCTTCAGCTCGAGGATCTCGCCCTTCACGTCCGTGGTCATCTTCTTCGACAGATCGCCGCGTGCGACAGCCGTCGTCACCTCGGCGATGGCGCGCACTTGGCCCGTGAGGTTGGCCGCCATGGTGTTCACGTTGTCTGTGAGGTCCTTCCACGTGCCGGCGACTCCTCGGCACCATGGCCT